GTATGCCACTGAAGCAGAAAATGAAATATCTGACGATAATTTTTTATCTGATTTTTGTAAGATAACCACAATCAAAGAAGAATAAAATTTAATACGAGGAGATTTTTTTGGGTATATGAATCATTATTTACCTAAAACACCTTTTACATTAATTTTTTTTATTTTTCTTTATTGCTAGAGATTTAAAAAAAATACAGATGTTTTTTATAATGCAACATTACTTACTTTATATATATTTATTACATTACCTGAAATTCACTGATCTAGAGAAAAAGAGATTTCAATTTTTACAAGTCAGTACAACAACTAGGTAAGTAGATATTTGGAGATATTCTAGTTTACCCTGGGACAAATAAGGCTCAGGAGCTAATAAAGCCCACATTTAAAAATTCGCGCTAAAATAGTTTGATGATAACTACGTCACTCTTCACGCACTCATGCGATAAGTTTAGTTAAGAGAAGTCTAATTTAGTTTTAGTCGAAGACAGAGAAGGTTCATTTATTGTTTTTATAAAAAAAACTAATTACTTAGGCTTTATTTTTTTGAATCAAAGAAAAAGTAGTTTAATTTATTTATTTTATTTTTTTATTATCGAGAGAAGTTTTCATTTTTTAAGAGAAGTTTGAGTTACCTAGTTTGCTTTAGCGAGTAGGTACCTACTTAACTAAACTTTTTGAGTAGTCTTTTTACCTCCCCAGAGGTTAAAAGGCCCATGATGATTATTAAGCAAATGTGTATTAGGCATATTTAGTGTAATTTTTTATACTCCACGGTCGAAATTATAGAGAGTGATTCATCGCTAGTTTTTGGACTAGTAAGGGGGATTAAGCGTGCCGGGAACGAAAATCCATTGGCGTGTCTGCGTAAAAGGCAACAAGATATAGAAAATAATGAAAAAAGATAATAAAACATAACATCTAATATTTTTTTACGGTTTGCTATAACAGGCACATTGATCCATTTTAATTATTACAGCATTTTAAAACGTCCCAATTGTGTTTTTTTAATTTATAAATTTATTATAGCCATGGAATTAGACCCCTCGTCTACGCTTATGCTATGACGTTTCTCAGGACGGGTTAAATCAAGTCCGTTTACACCCACTAAAAAAGCATTTCCTTATTTCCTACCAAGTGCAAAAGACAGAAATAGAATATAATATGTAGATCGACGTTCAGTCACAGAATATCCTGTGTAGTTAGGATATTCTGTGGTTCAGTGTAACTCGGTCTCTAGACGATTATAGATTCTATCGATGTGCGTAGCGAGCGGCACAAAGATAAATAATATTGAATCGTATAAAAATCATTTTATATTTTATCGCATTATGGTAATAGTGTTTTTATATTAAGTCTTAGTCACTCTCTATAATTTCGACCGCGGAGTATAAGTGGTTTGATTTAGACCGATTTACCCCTATTGAAATATCAACATCTAGCCCTAAACATTGCTGTAGGTACTATATGATAACATAGCTAATTTAACTAATGCTACATTGAAATCATATATATCTCCCTAGAAACTATTTTTTAATAAGGACAGGTTGATCTCTATAAGAGGTCCCCAAACTTTTTTGTCTCGTAAACCAGGTGCCAATTTTTTCTGTTTTGGACAGACCCCGACCTTTCTAATATTGAATTGTTACAAATTCGTCAACTTCAAATATGCTTTTACCAATTGACATAGTGCAAGTTTTTACAAGTTACAAATGTTGCGACCACAAAGTGAATAGCCTACTACACAATTTTATTAAATATAAATACGTATACTTTATTAATCTGTAATTGAGTGTAATAAATAAAATAATTGTTTACTATGCAATTTATAATAATTCTTAACCAGATTGATATATCTACCTATAAGAAAATAATAACTTAAATTTCAATAACAAAAGTATAACAACCATTTTATAAGTAAAACGAAACAGGTTGATTGAACTTAAAAGAATATTGCATGCATTGTTAACAATTAGCATTAATTAAAATTCAAAGCAATTGCCTAAGTTATTGATTTGACCCGTCGACGGAGAATGATCTCGTCATCGATTTCGAATTTTCCCACGAGTTATAAAACTCCCTAAATCTTAATAATCCAAATCTTCTTCATGTTTCATAAACATTTGTTTAAAAAAATTTTTACTTCATATGTAATTTATTATAAGAAAGTATTATGTAAGTACCATATACGGGGTGAATCAGGTTTAATCCGGATAACTTCAGGAATTGATAGAACAGGTTAAAATATGATAAATTCATGATATAAACTTATTTCCTAAATCGCATTGTTTCGGAGATAGAGGGCGCTGAAGTAGGAATTTTTTTCCCCTTAGCACTAAAAATACTTTTGAAATAATACTTTCAACGACGATTTTCACAAACATGAATTTATACATCTCATTGTGAGTTTTGTTTTTCATGGGTTGCTATAACGTTAAATGAAATTTAAGCGGCTTGGGGCGCTACACTATCACGTAATCCATTGAATATCTCAGAAACATGGCCAAATATCGAAAAAAAAAAAACAAGAGATGAAAAAGTTTCAAAATTACTGAAACAAAAGTGGTGTGCAGGTGTTTTATTGAAATAAATTAATTTTTTTGAAGCTTCTAGGAGAGGTAGGTGGTTCAAAGAAGAAGCTTATGTAAAATCATAAGGAGTGTTTGTGTTCCGAATTTCACTTCATTCGGATGAGTGGTTCAAAAGTTAAAGTATATTAATTTGTTTTCGCATTTTTATATATTTTCTCTGTAATTGGGTTAGTCCGTTGAGAATAAAGTGTATTATTATTATTATAAGTTATGAGGGAAAAACGGGGAAAAAAATTCAACGCCCTCTATCTCTGAAACGATGTGATTTAGGAAATAAGTTTATATCACAAATAAACATTGTTTTACCTGTTCTATCGATCCCTGAAGTTATCTAGATTAAACCTGAATCACCCTGTATAGGTATTATCTATGTTATATGAATTATTCCAGCTATGGAAAGTCAGTTCCCATACTTTACCCCTTACAGTTCCGAGTCGACCCCTAGGGGTCGCAGTAGACCACTTTGGGAATCATTGATCTAAATCGTAAAAAATATTTAATTTAGTAGTAATAGCAAAACAGATTGACGTTCAATTAATTTAAAAATTAAATACTCTCAAATATTCGACTGTCCGCAACTGATCATAAATAAAGCTGTTTCAGATGTTTTTACTGACTTATGTTTTAGGTGAAGAATAAGCTCATATTCACATTCAGCTACCAAAAAACCCTCCCATATCAGATTTCTTTGTAATATCTTTGAAAGTGATGGAGTTGTCTTTAAAAAAATTAAATAAAAAATCTTTTTTGAATATCGACAAATTTCTCAGGAAGAAAAATTGTACTAAGCTAACAATCTAAACAGATTTATTTTCACTTCTGAATGGCCCACTTACTTCCAGACACCCATACTGCATTCGTTGGCCCATGACAAGTAGATATGTCTATGTACAACAATTTTGGAAAATCTTTTGATAAATTTAGCCACAACTTATTCAATAGATCACAAATTGTATTATTAAATGTAAAATGGCTCACATTCTATTCCTTATTAACTATTTCTAGTGTGCCCTAAGGATTTCATTTGGGGCCACTTCTTCGTGTTATTTATGTCAACAAAATTTCACAAGTAATTTTTAATGTATGCCAATGATATAGATTTTTCAGAAATAAAAATAGGTAGTGTACGTAGTTGATAGATATTAAGACATGGTAAATATTACTTTTACTGGGAACAATAATGTGTACTCATTTGAATACGGATTTAATCAAATTAAAAATTTAAGTATCATGTTTAACAGTAAAATATTGAATTTGCTCATAAACTATACTGAAAAAAGCAGTAGGATCTTCTGTGGGTCCTCTCAATATAGCATTTACATTTCTAGTCAATTCAAAAATTTCTAATTTTGTAAATTATAATAAAAGTGAAACAAATTTTGTAGAAAAAAATATTTAAAAACAGTAAGTAGCTATATCTTGCATGACTTATTGAGGAATGTGATTAAGAAAACATGTTTACAATCACAAGCTTAGACTATTACTTATTATCGTGTCCTCAGACCTTATATTGTATAGAGCAAAAAGTGCTCTTCTGGTTTCAGAAGCAAAATCTGTCATAATTGCATATTCATTAAGCCTTGAAAATTGAAATACAACAAAATATTATTAAGTTTTTCTGCAAAATTTCAAAATGTTAAGAGAAGTGCATCTCCATGAGAAATTGAGTACATTTGCAAAATTTTTATTTCCTAAGCCTGCCCTGATATTTTGCTTAATTTTAGATGAGATATACTTAGGTATAGAATGTGGGCACCATGATAACTATAGTAACAGCAGGTTCTTATATTCAGTGATCTATTATTTAGGGTTCTTTTAATTTCCAAATCTTATATAATTTTATGGATTTGAAATCATGGTAAATTTTGTTTCACAAACAAGCTATACCACATTCTAGAAAGCTATTTTTCAGCACCAACATTTTTTCTAACTTTTTAGAACAGTGATGAAGACTAACAAAGCCAAAATTAATATGTCTGCCAAGATCAACCAATGAAAGATCTTACTTATTACCAGATATTGCTGGTTAGGGCAGGTATCCCGTTTCCTGTAACATCCTGACAAATAATATCAGTTCCCCTAGTAGGCAAGAAAGGTCATGCTTTCATAAAATCTGCAAGTCGCTATTTACCAGTTTGGCTATATTGAAGACCTATGTATCGAGTAGTAGTGACCATTCACACTATGCTGAATCTGGTGCATTCTTACAATTTGTTTTATCTATTTGGAGATATAATGTATATGCCCATATTTAGAAAAAATATATTAATTTCTAGTATTAAATTTTATTTCCTTTAGTAAATTATTTATTCATTTTTAAATATAACATTTTGAACTACTTTTTTCAGCTTTTGAGAAGCAATTCTGGACATGCTTGCCAAATAGTTCCCAAGCATAAATAAAATTATCATCATTAGTAGCTTAATATTTATTACCTAAATAAGTATATTGTAATTAAACCAATCCAATGTTATATAAAAAAAATTTAATGAGATAAATTAAAATGTTTTGATTAATCTTTTTCAGCAATAGCAGTTAAATGTCTATCAATCTCTTGTTCTGTTAATTTTCTGAATTTTGGTTCATCCTTTGATACAACTCCAACTTCTATTTCTGAAGGCTTAAAGTCCACTGATAGGACACTTGACAGACAACTAATAGCTAACTGAATAACATCATCATGCTGCAACTCTTGCTTTTTCTTTAATTTCTTTTCCAAGTAACTATTAGCTTCCGTCTGTTTAGCACCGACACTTACAGCTCGGTATCCACAATAATATCCAGCTGGATCTGCTTTGTAAACGCACGGTCCAATTTCATTATCATATCCAATTAGGACCATAGAACAACCTAAAAGTATATCAGTATTTAAAATTTTCATAACCTATTTTAAATATTTAAATATGAGTATGTATAAGCGCCTAAATTACAGTGACTTCTAATATTGACAACAAATACAACTTGACAAATTTCACTTGAGCCTAAAATGCGCAAATCAAAAAAAGAGCACATTTGATGTGGTAGATGGAAAAGCAAGCAGCACTTGGGATGGGCTCTGTTCCCCACTCCACTACTTTGTCAGTACACATCCTACGGTTAGAGCTTAAATGAATTTAGTTTACCTACACAGGCTTTGTAAATGATTACAAGCCACGTGACAGGAATTTTGATTGGAACAGCAAGATCAAGATTACATTAAAACACAATATTCTATTTAATCGGCTGTGATTGGTGTAACTTTTCACTCAACCAATCAGCGATTGCATTATCTCGAGTGAGACATAACGGTTTGTCATTGTTCACTGGAGTGGAATCATTAACATTGGTGGCGCCAAGATTTAGTGAATTTTCATTACCAGTACCAATCGCGCATTGTTGGGGTTGAATAAGCTTGAAGGTTGCGTGGCATTTATGAAGGTTCTGCATATATGCATTACAAAAATACTCGTTTGAGATTGAAACAATTCATAACCTAAGTTTGCATCAATATAACGATTTAAAGAAATACTTTTGCAACTCTGCACAATACTTAGTTTTAGTGTAAATGGCAACTCACCTAAGGGCCTCATTTCAGCATTTTGCGTGTATACTTGGGAAATGTCTGCTACTCTTCTACACAAAGCATCTAGTGGCATTTCGTAATTGAACTTATATTTAAATTGAGCAGCCTCATACCTAGCTCTTTGCACTTGCGACTTGCTATCGGCAATCATACCAGTCATAACGCATCCAATAGAATCCGTGAGTTGAAATAAATGGGTAATGGTATTGGCGTCAATTAGTTTATCAGGAATTTTTCTTTGTGTTACACAAACTGCTGTATCCACTCCTTTTACTGCTACTGAAGTTAGACCGGCTTGATTAATAGCTTTAAAAGCATATTCAACTTGATACAGTCGACCCTCAGGTGAAAATATAGTTATGTGGCGATCAAATCCTGCACTGCTTCCTCTAGACATTTTAAAATATTTTCACTAAAAAATATGGAACTCAGAAATCTTACCAAGCGATGAATAATGATATTTGTATATTTTTTGACAGGTTAGAGAACCGCTATGTCACTGTCAGATTTGTCAGAACAGAACATAACACTGACTATTAGAACATGGACTGCTATTGCTGCTTTAAAAAGGCGAGCCAATTTAATTATGAGCAGGAAGTATGTGATTCTGCGCATTTAATTACAAATACAAGTTGTGAAAAGAATGCATAAGCACGAGTTAACACTACTCAAACGAGAATATCAAAAGGCAAAATCAGCAACATGTGCAAAATATACCCAACCAAAACAATTTGGATCTCATAAAACGCTGTTACTAATCGCTCTTAATTTATTATAATTATGTAGAAACCAATGGAAGTCTTACATGTGCAGATGACTAATGTTTTTCCAGACCTACTAAGTAAACTCAAAACAAATTTCACGTTGACAAAAATTCTGTAAATACCAATACGCCATGGCTAGAAATTGGCCTCAATGATTTGGGATCGAGGGGGATTATCCCTCTTCACCCTGCCTCATCTCGTGTAGGCCTGAACAGCCTTCGTAGGTGGGCCCTATCCGTCGTCTACCTCTCCCGCAAATGCGGCCGGTGTAGGTGCTTTGTGGGACCTCCTTTTGTCCTGGCTGGGCCCCGCCAGCTAGGGCCCTTTCTTCTGGCGCTTTTCTTGCTTCGCCAGTTCGTCTGTGTAAACCCCGGGGGTGGTGTCATGTTTATGTGTGGTATGGTTTATGTGTAGTGCGGCTATGCAGCCTGGGATGCGCTTTGCTAAGGTCACCCTTAGGCTAGCGCGGGAGGGGAGGGGTAAGGACGGTAAGGTGTGTGTGCGTGTGTGCGTGTGTACGTGTGTGCGTGTGAACGTGTGTGCGTGTGCGTGCGCGCGTGTGTGTGTGTGTGTGTGTGTGTGTGTGTGTGTGTGTTTGTGTTCACAATTTTCTGCTGACAGGTTGCGCTATACCTAGCGGTCGCCATGTTTTGTAGCTTAATTAATTTTCGCTATTTTGAGAGGAGAGAGCGCTAGGTGTCAAATTTAAGCAGTTTTTAAAGTGTTTAAGTAAGAAAGTTAGGTTAGAAATACAGATGATTCATTTTGTTGTGCTAGAAAGAAACGATGTAGCATATCCCCCTGCCCGCTAACCTTTTCTGTTTCAGAGACAGCCAGGATCAAGAAACGAAGACAACGACACACACACACACACATACACACCCCCCATACCCTCCTTACCCCTCCCCTCCCGCGCTAGCCTAAGGGCCACCTTAGCAAAGCGCATCCCAGGCTGCATAGCCGCACTACCCTACCCAACCATACCACACATAAACATGACACCACCACCCGGGGTTTACACAGACGAGCCGGCGAAGCAAGAAGAGCGCCAGAAGAAAGGGCACTAGCCGGTGGGGCCCAACCAGGACAAAAGGAGGTCCCACAAAGCGCCTACACTGGCCGCATTTGCGGTCGGGGTAAACGACGGATGGGGCCCACCTACGAAGGCTGTCCAGGCAGGATAAAGAGGGATAATCCCCCTCGATCCCAAATCATTGAGACCAATTTCTAGCCATGGAATAATGGCGCGCGCTGCGCTGCTATGTTCGACTGAACGCGGCCTATGATATAGATGGATTTAATTTTTCGTTTATATTTTTGAGAGAAACGAATAAACTTTCAAGTTAAATAAATATACACATCTAGAAAATGTTTTGCAATATAGTTTTTAACATTTCATTGTTATAGTTAAAATTTAATTTTTTTTTAATCGATTCGTTTACATTCATTCGTAGGTACCTAATAACCTTTAAATTATACCCATCTATAAAAATATGCCTGTTTTAAAAGGATGGAGGTATGTAGCTGTAATAGGTGGTCTTGTAGGAGCTATAGGCATAGCCATATATCCCATAATAATTGACCCTATGTTAAACCCAGATAAATACAGTAAGTAGTAATTATGTATTCCTCTTTTAATTACACAAATTTGTTGTAGAAAAAATACAAGCCGTTACTAGAGCAAACATTAGGCAAGAGGATATCCAACCTGGGAGTAAGTGTTAAAAACTCAGAAGTATTTGAATATTAGTTACCTAATTACATAACCGTCAACAAAATTTTTAAACATTTTGTAATATGCAAAATCAATATAACTGCAGATTCTTAGTATTTCTAACAAACAATATGTAAAAATATTCTATTCTAATATGTGCTAATTTCCAGTTTTTAAATTTTGGTCATCTTACTAAAAGCAAAGTTTTATTCTTACCGTTATTTTTTATTTCCAGATATGAAAGTATGGACAGATCCCTTCGATAGAAAGAAGAGTTAATTCTGTATTGGAATTAAATTTTACTATGTACAGATGCAATATTCAGAATAATAACAAAATAGTCAATAAGTAATTTTGTAAATATTTACCGATCTTGAAAGTATATAATAAAATACAATCAGATTTTATGACTTTTATTTACCGATATATACTAGGAAATCGCAAATAATTCCAATTTCCAATTTTAATCCTATATGGGATGTTCCAACATGTTTATCTAAAGTTGGTAAAAATTGATGTTTTTCATAATTCATTCTAAAACCCCTTATCTGATATAAAATAAAATATTTTCTTAATTTGTCTTATGTATAACTTTCAGGCTAGTCTTGCCAGTAAATGTCCTATACAAAATTTTTCAATGAATTGCCTATTTACAGCTAAACAACTCATAGTTTTGACTAGATTTCTTTATTAAAAATTTCTGTTACTGAAAAAGCATTCTATAGTATTTCCCCTCCTATTTTTATTCTTTAACATATTTATCGTTTCATACAATGCCCCTTATTTGGCATGTTCTGATAATAAAAAGGGTGATTCCATATATCATTTTGAGGAAAAATGTTCCTATGAATTATATTCTAAACAACTTAATTTTTGATATACAGAGTGATAAACTACTTAAAATATATCACATTTACATTAACATATTGAAGGTAGTTAGACACATACATTAATGAAACTTGAGCTGATGGTGACAAATATTACTGTAAATGAAGATAAAAATTTATGTAATTTGTATACAATTATAATAATGATGCGAGATACCAACACTGCGTCACTAAGAGACTAAGAATTAGATACAGAATCATTTGAAATTTGATTATAGTTAATTGTTAATTTGATTTGTAATTATATTTAATTTTTCTTACAAAACTTTGGGACAAAAATGAAGCAAATTTTCAAGTGTTGATATTCCTAATGGTTTGGGTACCTACTTAATTACTTTATTAGTCTTCAGAAATTTGATTTGGTAACAAATACTAATATCTACTTTTATTTGTGCGGTTCAGAAAGTTGTGATCGGAGCATATTCTTTCACAAAAATTATTGAAAATGATCACATTTAGTGAATGATTCTGTAATCCAAAAATATTCTCATAGAATGTTGGGACAATCTATAACCAGGCCTGGGTTTAGGGAGGGGTACGAGAGCTGTAGCCCCGGGCTTCACGAGATTGGGGGGTCTTGGCAAGATCTGGTAAAATGAAACCAGAATGTGTTTAGGTTTTGATTTTTTTTTATCAAACCAAAAAGTGTTTAGTTTATCGGTAAATCGCTGATTACGTAAGCTTTTTTTTAGAATCAAACCAAAAAGTGTTCAGGTTTTTAAATTTTATATCCGTTTTTTTTTAGAAAAAGGCCTCTGTGGAGCTTGCACACCCGCGCCTAACCATAGGTTAATCCGGCCCTGCCTATATCCATTCAAAAATATGGAGAATGTTTTTCCATAAAAGAGTAAGGAAAATGGAATCCATAATTTTTTACTTTTAGACATATTACCTTTTGTATTGCTCCTTTTTTTTTTATTTAATTAGGACTTAGTTTTGTCACCACAGTTTTATGATAAAATGCGAAAATTTATACATGTAACTTTAATACTGGATTCTATAAAGGTTTCTATAAATGTGTGTCCAAAAAGACTGAATTTTCGAGATGCAGATGAAATTCTAAAAAATATCTCATTTATGCAAACCTGTCGACCAGTGTGGAGATATTGTAAACATTGTCATTACAATCCGTACAATATTTGTCGTTTCCAAGACCAGAATACGAAGAAACATGCCTTCGTAACTGCAAAATACAGTATGCACTGCAAGCTACTATGGTGAATGCCACACCGCCAATGCTTTTCTACCTTGGGTGTGAATGTGGTTAGGTGAATGCGATTAATTCCAAGAAAGTGACGCAGGGGTTCTATTCTATTCTATTGCAACAAATATCGTAAGACCCTTTGAATTTTGACGTCACAGAATGTTTTCAAAATTTAATTTCAATTGGTATTTCTAACAAACATATCGTTTGTTAGAAAAAAAAATTACAGAAGTACAATTAGATTAATGTAATGTTCAATTTTTTGAAGATTAATAACCCTCTAGAGAAAAAAAAAACTAGAAGAAATAAAATTCTTCCATCCAACAAAATTTTTTAAATTTTTCTGTTAAGACGAATAATTTTGGAGTTGCTTTCAATTTATTCAACTATGTCATAGGTTTATTTTAAATTTAAAAAATGGTCAATCATTTGTCAATATACAGGGTGTTTCAGAATATGTGGGCAATCTCAGATTTATACAGGGAACGTTAAGACATGACAAGCCCCTATAAAAATTTTTCCTAAAGGAAACCCCTGAAAATTGATTTTTTTTAATAACTTTTAAAATGCTTTGTAATTTAATTATTTTTTAATACGATGGACAACAAAAAATTGACCCATGAAAACAATTTGGCTTATTTGGTTTGCCAGGGACGAACTAGCTGTAGCACAACAATGTAAATTTTTTTATACCCTTTACAATAAAGGCACAAAAATAATATTTTTAGATAGCTTGAACCTTAAACTAGAAAAAAGGCACTCTTGGTTGATATCGATAAAATATTAATTGTTTTCGAGAAAAAACTATTTGTATTTTTTTTTAATATATTTTTATTATATCCGTAAAGAGAAATAAACCGATGAAATTTGCATTCTTTCTGTACCTACCTATCTAAAAAAATGCCACATTTATTTACATTTGTTTTTTCCTAAAAACAATTAAATTACACAATTATCTAGGGTTGCCCTCTAGGGAAGATTTTTATAGGGACTCATGTTATTTTCACGTCCTGTATAAATGCGAGAAATTGCCCACATATTCTGGAACACACTGTATAATGTTAAAATCAACTTATCAAAAATCCCGCATGTATTTCTCTTTGGAATGTTATTTTAAAGATATGGTCAAAATTTGGAGTGATTAGAATGAAAATTGTTGTAATTATGCTGGGTGCTGTTTAAGAAAATTGTGTTTTGAGAAAAACATTTTTAAAGTTTTGAGATATACGCTATACTAATGTACTATCGTTTGAAAATGCTTCTAATTGAATACGAACTCTTTCTAACGACATCTGTTAGTAGTATTCGAGAAGTTAGAAATCAAAAGGTCAGTCATTAGGCCGTACCCTTCCAGCATGTGTCTATGTGCCGCAGGCAGTCATTTCGGAGCAGTCCTACGGGCTTTAGAAAGAGCTCGAAATTTGAAAAAAAAAATGTACAGGCATAAAACTTCTTCCTCCCTATTCTGAACATACAAAGCATCTTTTAAATCAATAAAAAAAATAGATTTTCTAAAAATTATACAAATTATACTTAATAATATAATTTATTTATACATATCCAAAAAAAAACAGAAGTAATAACATTATTAATTATATATATACACAAGAATAAAAAAATTTATATTTAAAACTACTAGAATTATATTGACAACATTCCTAAGCTTAAGTTAGTGGCTTATGGCAGCGATAAAAGAGCTGTAGACCACTGTAAATATTTTTCATCATCACAAACATTTACATAAACATCAAAAGCTTCCCTATTACAGATTCCATCAGATGTAAATACATATTTATGAAATGTGCCATCTAAACAAACGGCTGAAAAATAAATCAAATAGGAATTTTTATCGCAACATAAATACTCTCATACCAATAACGGAGCTATTGGGTCCAAATGCACAGATGCATGCACACTCTGGTGGGACTGTGAAATTTGCTAGAGCCCATTGAGATTCTCCATATTTTCCTAACATTCCTCCACTAGGTAATCTAAAAATAATACCTTTTATAACACTATTTATATTTATATTTACAGAGTTCATTTGTATAAATAAATTATGGAATATGTGAACTAATTTAATTCATATTTGATACTGAATATTTTTAAGTGAATAGCAGAAATTATATAACCGAATGTTAGGGCCACCTCTGTCAATCAGGAAAAAGGATCAGGAAAAATATATTAGGATATGTTCCCTAACATTTAATGCAAAATGAATTGTTATAACAAGAAATAATTTTGTAACGAGCGTTCAAATAAAAACGTGGTCAAGTTGGTTCTGAAAATTTGGACGTAGGGCGTAGCGTATAGCAAATGAACTGAAACGTCATCTGTCAAAGCGCTATATCGCCGCTATCAATTTGAATATTTTCGTTTTAAAAAGCGTTTAAAATGGTGTTTTNTCACACCGAATATAAAGAAATAGTTTTAACTGAAATATGCTTAGAATGTGCTCCAGCAAAAATTCTCTCCAAATAATATGTTGAACGAAGAAAGCATCGACATAGTTTCAATTTATGCAGTTCTGCAAAGCAAGAAAATATGAAATATTTGAAACAACTACGTCAGAAGAGTAGTAATGTTAACCAATCGAGTTTACGATATGAGGAAAATAAATGGAGAAATATATAAAGAAGGCAATATAAAAACTATTTGGAATATTATAGCTAAAACAATTCAAATATTGTACTGTAATTAGGACAGTAATATAATAAACCCTTTTACATACCTACACTACTGGAAAAAATGAAAAATTTTTGTCTTTTAGTCTCTATATTATTTTTATAAAGTCTTTGAACACGGCCCAACAGAAAAAAAGGGTAAGAAATCAACTATAGCTAGCGAATTGGTTGAATTAAATGTAGCGCGTTGCAGTCGAAATTCTGTGAACGAAGCTTAAGCCCTTACTAGCTCCATCTCTCTCGCACACGTCTGAGCGATTGCCATTTATATAGGTAAAATGACAGTTGGACAAGTCCAGTAGTTTATAAGGTCTATGATATATAGCTAACAAATATTGTTTTTTATGATCATGAGACAATAGCTAGTCACAGATAACCATACTGTGATTTATGTTCTATGAAATTGTGGTCGATGGTTGTCCGCGCCAGATAGATCGCTACATGCTACTTCTTAGCAGATCAGATACTGCTATTGCGCTCAGTGTTGATACACAGACAATAAGACAAAACGCGGAGAAACGGTTTGACGTAGCTGCTAGACATGACAATCCCCTCCTCAGGCAAGCCGTTGACTACGATAATATACAGCAACGCCATTATTCTATGGCTAGAAATTGGCCTCAATGATTTGGGATCGAGGGGGATTATCCCTCTTTATCCTGCCTCATCTCGTGTAGGCCTGGACAGCCTTCGTAGGTGGGCCCCATCCGTCGTCTACCCCGACCGCAAATGCGGCCGGTGTAGGCGCTTTGTGGGACCTCCTTTTGTCCTGGCTGGGCCCCGCCGGCTAGGGCCCTTTCTTCTGGCGCTCTTCTTGCTTCGCCGGCTCGTCTGTGTAAACCCCGGGGGTAGTGTCATGTTTATG